AGGTATACACTTTCAGCTATGTAAGATGAATAAGTTCCAGGAATCTAATGTACAGCATGGTGACTATAGTTAAAAATACCTTGCTGCATACTTGAAATTTGCTAAGAGAGTAGATTCTAAATGTTCTCACACACAGAAAAAAAGTGGTAACTATGAAGGTGATGAATGTGTTAACTAACTTCACTGTGGTCATCATTTCACAGTATATACCTATACTAAGTCACCATGTGGTACATATCAAATTTATAAAATTGTATTTGTCTATTATCTCAATAAAGCTATGAAAAAAGAAAGCATGCTATACAATAATATAAAATAATAATTGCCTCCATTATCTCTATTCCCACACATTCCCAAGATTGAAGTTTGTCTATAAATGCAAGCAACAAATTTAGAATCTTGCATAAGCAGAGATAAATCTTCATAGTCTAAGGAAGTAGTGTTGCTGGACTTCTCTTCATCATCAGGATTTAATATTATAGACTTTACTCTTCAGGTAAGTTTATATCCATTTTACAGATGATGAAACTGTCATGCAGAGAATTTGTTTGTTTAGTGGTTTCCAAAGTATAAAGGACATAAAAGCTGAGTGGTGCTCGAGAGCATGGATTCAAAAGTTAGACTGCATGTGTCACGTCCCTACTCTGTCACCCACTGTGTGACCATGGCCAAGTTCAACGTTCTCTCTAAGCCTCAGCTTCCTCCGCTAGAAAGTATGGATGATAATACAAAGCTTGTAGAGTGGTGTTACATTCTAAGTTGAGATAATGAATGCAAAGCCCTTAAAACAGTATCTGCCACATAATAGATTTTCAAAAGATTTGGCTATGTTTAAAAGTCACCTGGACAACTTGTTAAAAAATTAAGTTATCTGGGACCGTCCTCCAGAGATCCCGATTCACTAGGTCTGGGCAAGAATCACAAGTACTGCAGGTGATTTAGATAACACTGTTAGTGCAGCCAGATACACATAATTCCAAGGTCCATGTGGCCTCACCAGGAAGAAATTCTTCAGTGTTTCCCCATTTTCAATTGGTATTTCTATGATTTTCCAAAGGTACCATGCGTTGCTTCAATCTAGCACCTTCCTAAGTATTACATCTCATCTATACTGACTTAAAAGAATTTCACTTTTTTGTCTTATAGAAGCTCTCCTTAAGTCACAATATTTTTCCTGATGCCAATCTTAACTTTCAGTGTCCCATGGACTCCTTAATGACAGGTCATCAGGACCTTCATACATGTGTATCAAGGACTTGACCCTTGTCCTCTCTAGACTTGCACCCCATCTCCCATGCAACCAGAGAGGACTCAAGCACCCTGGGGAGCAACTGTTAGCCCCCCATGTCAAACAGCTAGCTTATGACATTTGTTGATGTCATTATAAGGAGATAACTGAGCCACCTCCTGAAACATGAAGATCTTATACCAAGACTATATTTTATATAATACTTACCCAGTGCTTTCTGGAAAAATAAAGTATACAACTTTATTTTCACCATATCGTTTTTGGGAAATGGACCTCAGAAACCAAAGGCAAAGACTCAACATTCCAATCCCACATCGCCTTCCAAGATCTGAGCAGTGAAATTACATTTGGTCAGGTTTTAGTTGCCCTCAGGAATGATGAAATCAGTGTAATATGGACATTCTAACAAGCAAACAAAAGCTACCAAGCAAACAAACATTTTTCTCCAGCATTTGAGTGTGCAGTTTTTTTAATGACTATGTGATTTGACAACAGAAGAAGAAAACAATAGCATTAGTCCATATTGTCAGTCAGATATTCACTTTGAATGAGCCTCTTTGAAGCCCTCAGTGGCTCAATTTGGAGACAAAGAAACACCTGGAAGATGTCAGAACGGGAACCAACTCTCTAATGTGCTACAAGTGTGACAACTGGAAAATCAAAATTTCTTAATCCTTTCTCTAATTTCAATTCTGCTTACATATTGAAAGACCAACACTCGTCTATCAATAAAACATACACCAAAATGTTCACAGTCTCCTGTTCAAAACAGACAGAACATGCTCAAGTACTTTGTGTTATTGAAATAGCATTGTGGGGTTTATCTTCTCTATCTCTTCAGCCAACCCATCCATTCTATTCTATTCTCTATTCTTCACAAAGGGTCCATTAGCTTCCTTACCCATTCTGCCTAATAGCTGAGGAATCATCAGCCTTTACTGTACCATTTCCTAAAAGAAAGGATATGAAGTCATTAAAAACTCATAAATATGAAGGTTAGGAAGATATAAACAAGGGTACACAAGGTAATGTGAAGTAAGAAATAGCAGAATATGAAAATGGATATAGTTATTAATTAAAACAATGTTAAAAACCATGTAGTTGCACAATTACTATCATAAGAGACCATAACTTGTTCTGCTAAGCCATTTGCCAGAGTGTGATTTTCAGCAAAAAAAAAACAAAAAAAAACAAAAAACTATGTATAACCTTCAGTCCATTTTTAGAAATCTGTCCAATGGAAACAAAAATACCACTATGTACTGATAAATCAGAAATGCTTATTACAGTATTGTGATGGCAAGTTAAAAAGAAAAATCTAAAATGTGTATATAATGAAAAGTATTAAAGGGAAACCTCACTAAAGTGGACTGGGGAAGCTAGAAGAGGAGGATAGAAGAGGGATCCCTACACTTCATGTCAATTACAGAACCCAACAGAGGAATCATCAACAGGAAAGAATCATCAATATCAGGCCCCAACACTGGGGAAAGATGGAAAGATAGACACTGCATCTCCTATAAGAAATCAACTACCCCTGCAACTCAGCCAATGAGAAACCATCATCACCCTGAACTCTTGCTTCTCTCCAGTGGACTTTCATTCAAAACATCCCCTCCCAACTTTCTCCTTCTTCTCCATAAAATAATGTTCTGCTTTGTTAGTTGGACCAGCCTCTGGTCTTTGCTGTAGCTTGATTGTCCTGAATTGCAATTCTTTGTTATTCCCAAATAAACCTATTTTTTGCTAGTGAAATAACAGACTGTTTTATTTTTAAGGTTAAATAGTCTATTCTTGTAAAAAGTATATATAGACCATTCTTGTAAAAACAATTAAAAATTACCTCTGAGCTGGAAGGAAAGTGCAGAAGAACACATACATGACTGTTATCTTGATGTGGGTGGAGGGAGGGGATGTTGTCAGGCTGATCTTGTGAACTATTTCTCTCCTTTTAGGCATGTGCTATTCTTGTAGTTTTTTAAGGGAATTTAATTTTAAAATTGAATAAAGAAGAGACTTGCAGAAATATGGAAATACACAAATGACATGTAGAGTGAAGGGATTTTTAATTTTGGAGACATTTCCTTAAACATTCAATGTTTCTTTAAAACATCCAGTTCTACCCATTTAATAATATATTTTGGATTTTTACATTAAAAATAAACATTTGAGATGCACATTTTGGAAGAAACCTACTTTTTAGACTGCAATTTCTTTCTATATAGTTCTAATAAATAAGTATCCAGTGGCTTTCCAGGGAGGTAAGATGTGGCGCAATGTCCTTTTGGAGAGCATTTGCCAGAAGGAAGCACAGCATGTCAGCCCAAGTAGGTAATGTGATGTCAGAAAACCTGGTTACCTTACTGGCTTTACAACTTATTAGTGGGCACAATGAATCTTTGAGCCAAATTTCTTATTCTTAGTGTCATAGCAATGGAATAATAATATAACATGTCCCTATACTGTCTATACCCATGTAATAATAGGTAATGTTGCTGAGTACCTACTCAGGTGGGATTGAGGCATGTTGCTAAACCTATTGCATAGATTTGTCCTAATTCTCACAATAACAGCATGAAGGAGACCTATCGTCACCATTTTACAGAGAAAAACATTGAAGCTCAGAAAGTAGGTAAGTGGCATCCCCAATATCTAGGCAACCATATGTTCCCGGGACATTCTTTTTATACCTTTTAAAGGCAATTTGAAATGTCTAACTTTTGTCAAATCCTTCAGCAGTACTAAGAACCTACTGCTCCCCCTTGATGTTCCTTAAACATGTCGAATACAGATGAGAGAATGTTGCCTCAGGAGCAGGAAGTGGACAGCCTCCTCCAGCGAAAGCAGGGCTCTGGTTTGGGGACTGGATCTCCCCAGGTTCCAGTGTCACCCCTCTAGTCTGAGATCTGTCCCCATGACTGGCCCACTAGCCAAAAGCAATCATTCCTTCTTTAGAAAACAGTAGTACTTGTCTCCCTCACCTTGTATTAACTAGTGGTCTAGGTTGTCGAGTGCCCTTCAGGGCAGAGACTCATTCATCTCTGTATGTCCCCAGTGCCTGGCAGTGCTTGGTACACAGTTTGTATTCAGTTGAAACTGAATAAAAACACACTGGAAATGAGACTTGATTATTGTACAAAACAAAGCTACTCCGTGTCTTCCTGGGACTGGTATACTTCAAAAGGTAGAGTTCTTTTTTTAAAAAATAAGATTCTGACTTTCTATAGAAAGTACTTTTTATCTAAATGTAGAAGTGTTTTTAAATGATTAAAATATTTTGATAGAATATACGCTTCGGCCCAATAGTTCCATCAGTAGGGAAATTGTCATAATCAGCAATAAATTCACAATATATCATTATGTACAAAACTGGAAAAGAACTTAGTTAATCTACAGGTACTAACATGGAAAGATCTTTATATTATCTGAAGACAGGAAAATATAGAAATACTAGTAAGGTATTATCTCACTTTCTAACTAAGGTAAATGAATCATGTATTCAGAGGGATAAAAAGAAATGTGCAGAGGACTTGTAAAATTTTAATACTTTTTAAAACACCTACCCCCCAGACACATACATAGATTCTGATCGTGTCAATAAAAATAAGAGAGAAAGAGAGATTTCCTGCTCTTATCCAAAAGGGATTCTTGGCAAAGACCGTGCATTTAGTCTGGAACCTGTCTTAGGTGAGAGAGGGGAAAAGGGAGAAAAAGGAGCTTTGAAGAAAGTGCTTTGAAGTTAGCATGGAGCATGGGGAGGGAGGCAGGAACAAGCCTTCTGCAGGGAGAACAGAACCTGCAAGAGGAGCCAGGTCCTGGGAAGCAGATTTCTCCAGGAGAAAAAAAGTCCGATGAGCAATCTCTGAAGACAAGGATAGGCTGCCTTTTGGAACGACCTCCCCTGCTGTCTCTGCAGCCCTTTGCTCCTACAGTGGCCACCAGACACTCACAGGCATTGAGAAAGGCGCTCCAGGCTGAAGAACCAGCACAGCAAGGTGAGGAGGGGTAGAGCTTCCACAGGTGTGGCTTACTGGAAGTAGCTGGTGTAGGTGAAGCTAAAAAGGCCACGTGGACCAGATGACACAGATCCTGTGAATTTCAGGACCTGAGATTTTTTTCCCCAACAAATAAAGGGCCATTCATGAACAAAATTATTTCATAATGCTTAGCCATTTTTAGTTGACTGAATCACTAATCTAATCTAGTCCAATAATTAATCTAATCTAATCTAATTATAGCTTGCTACCAAAGATGCTAGCAGAGCGGTCAACAAATAACTTCAAGATGCAGTTATTCCCTCCCTATACCTATACCCAGTGCTGATGCAATGTCTTCTATTCCACCCAGATGTTAGCTAAGTGCTAACATGTCCACCAACCATGGATGGGCTTTCAAAGAATGATGGCTGTAGGGACACGGAATTTGCAGACACTCTGGATGACAGGTTCTTCCGGGGTCACGGCTAGCTCTCCAGCTACCCACAGACAGCCTGAACTCAAATGTTTCTGCAGACGTGTCTTTTAAAAGTTTTACTGGCATTATTGCTTTTTTACTTCTGGTAATTGCTTTAAAAGAACAAAGCTCTTTGTTTAAGGGGGGCCCAGGGATCTCATAATTGCCACGAGGCACATGAGAGGTTCCTAGACTTTCTAAACAGTTTCTCTTTTAACATTAAATATTAAGTTCCTAATGTTTGGCCAAAATGTAGATACTCCCTAGGGGAGGAGAGAGGATGCAATCAGGAAGATCGTGGAGACTGGTAAGTGATACCTCCTGGTTGCTTGCCTCAGAACCACAATGCAGAAAGCACACCTCGGGCAGGCAGGGGGCTGAGCTGTGCCCACATACCCAACAACCCTGAACTGGAGACATAACGTGTCCCCAACTCCCAGCAGCGTCTGAAGCTCTCTGACACTATTCCTCCATCACAGCAAATCTGATTCACTTGTCCACCCACTAGGAATCATGTTGAGTCAATTCTTGAAGGAGTATTTCCCAAATCTTTAGGGCTACCAATTCATCCCATGTTAGTACCTCCCTAGCCCTTCTTTTCCCTTCAGTGACTGATTTTTTCCCCCTCTGGGGAAAAAAATCCATCTATAACGAACAGTAATTTCAGCAACACTAAGTACCATAACTGGGACTTTAGAAATGCAGGGGACATTTTAGAATGAAGCCCTTTAGCACAAGGATACAAGACTGTTTATTCAGTTGATGATAATCAGGAGCTGTTAGGTGAACCCATCTGCCTGAATGGATGATCCAGGCATGCAAAAGAGAAGATTGGGGGAAAACTTCAACTTGCCCTTCCCAGGCCTAAGACCAATTTTCAAAATAATGTCATATTTGCACAGAAAGTCTATGCTGTGTTAGAAGATCATCTGCCTACAATTTTATGATACAGACCTCAAATCTACAAACAGTAGGAATTTCTGCTTCTGGGTTAACTGGAAACTGCATGCGGTCCAGGAAACTGAGCTTCCAAGGTCTTTAGGAACAAGAGAGAAGAAAAACAACAACAACAACAACAACAACAACAACAACAAAACCTAGCTTTTTGATCCGGCTGTCACTTTGTAGTAACTAGCCCTGCACTAGTTAAGTAATTATACCTTATGCTGCTGAACAGTTTACACAGAGTATTCAATTTTCATGTATGAATCAGGTATCATTAGCAACACTAAAAGATGAGAGGGAGGGATGGGGTGGCTGGGTGATAGACATTGGGGAGGGTATGTGCTATGGTGAGCGCTGTGAATTGTGTAAGACTGATGAATCACAGACCTGTACCTCTGAAACAAAAAATACATTATATGTTTAAAAAAGAAGAAGAAGAAGAAGATAGTAGGAAGGGAAAAACGAAGGGGGGGAAATCAGAGGGGGAGATGAACCATGAGAGACTGTGGACTCTGAGAAACAAACTGAGGGTTCTAGAGGGGAGGGGGTGGGGGGATGGGTTAACCTGGTGATGGGTATTAAAGAGGGCACGTATTGAATGGAGCAATGGGTGCTATATGCAAACAATGAATCATGGAACACTACATCTAAATAAATAAATAAATAAATAAATAAATAAATAAAAGATGAGAAAACTGGGAGGTCTTTACCCAGGCTTCTCTGGTTCTCAGAGCCTCATAGGGAGGCAGCCAATGTGGGTGGGTGCTATTCGGAGCCCTTCTCTAAAGAACCTAAAACAATACAACAATCTCAGCAGTGGCAATGGCAGTCATTGATCATCCCTCCTAAGTGCACACCTGCCAGGCTCTACAGTTGCAGGACAGACATCTGCATTTTAAATCTGCACAACAACCCTGACATGGGTACATACCTTCCTTGACTTACGTCTGAATAAAAGCATCATAAATGGAAAGCATCATAAGTAGAAAATGCATTTAATACCCTTAACTTATCAAACAGCTTAGCCTCACCTGCCTCAAATGTTTTCACGACACTTACATTAGCCTACAGTCGGGCAAAATCATCTAACACAAAGCCTATGTTATAATAAAGTGCTGAATATCTCATGTAACTGATTGAATAGCGCCCTGAGAGTGACGAACAGAATGGCTGTGTGTCCGTTGTTCACCCTCAGGTTCATATGGCTGCCTGGGAGCAGAGGCTCGCTGCCACTGCCCAGTGTCATGAAAGGTTCAGACCATATATCGAATTCAAAATTTGAAGTTTGGTTGTTACTGAATGGTATCACTTTCGCACCATCATAAAGTCACAAAATTTTAAGTCATAACCTTGTCAATTGGGAACCGTCTGTACTCCTATGATCCCATTTACAAAGGAGGAAATGGAAGCCTACATTACTTTGGAAGAGTCAATATGAAAGACGTTGTCACCTCACTCTCTTTCATCCCGTCTATTTATGCCAGAAATAGTTTGAAGGAAAAAGCCTTACTCCACAATCTGAGGCAGAACTGAGTGTAGCAAAGTCATATATTGCTAGAAACTCTCCCACACAAGCATGTCTTGATGTGCTGTGCCTAAGGGTGGGAGGTACTATCTCCATAGAAGAAAGGGGACAAAGAGAGGGACAGCAGGGCCCACTCCCCAACACCAAAGGATGACATCACAGCGAGGTCCAGGGCTGGCTGTGTCAACCTCCAGTTTTCCTAGGTAATCACAAGCATCCACTAAGAGGGCTTCAGTTTGACAAGGTGGATAAAGCACTAGCTTAGAGTGATCAGAATGAGACCCATCCAAATGTGCGGCAGTGAGGAAGACAGGGACAGAAGCAGCACCAATATTCCCAGTGGAAAATTAGCATCACCCTAAATATCTGCAGTTGTTTGAGCAGAAAAAGAGTTACAGGAACACCTACTTTGACATTTTACTCTTCTTTTTTTTAAAGATTTCATTTATTTATTTGTCAGAGAGAGAGGGAGAGAGAGAGAGCACAAGCGGGGGTGGGAGTGCCAGCCAGAGGGAGGAGCAGACTCCCTGCTGACCAGGGAGCCCGATGCGGGACTCGATCCCAAGACCCTGGGATCATGACCTGAGCCGAAGGCAGACGCTCAACCGACTAAGCCACCCAGGCGTCCACATTTTACTCTTCTTTTAAAAAACACTTTAAATCTGGCATAATTTAAAGGGTGTCATTTTTAAACCTAAAGCATTTCTTATAATAGAACTTAGGCTCTACTAATAACCGGCTACAGAATGCTATTCAGAATTAGTGTCAGTCTGCTCATATCAGGACACACAGACATGACAACCATGGGGCACCAAGACTAGATGCTGTGTGTCTCCATCAGGGGCACCCAGCTCCCACCTGTGTTCTTAGTCTCTCATCCAATTTAGAAGAGGTTCAAGACTGCTTCAGATCACCAGGTTTTAGCTGGTAGTGTTCAGCATGTCAGTGTGAGGGAGGGAACATTGCATCCATAAAATGGAAGGAGATTAGGATAAAGGAGTTCTTAGCAATCTCTTTATTCAGCTCGTTGTTTTAAAGGTTACAAAATTGAACCCAGCCTAACACAAAGGGGCTAAAACTCAACCCAAATGTTAAGTGATTAAGTGATACTCACACCAGGCACTGTACCAAAGAGCCCTTTTCCCCTCACTCACAAAGGGCTAATCCAAGTCTGAAGGGGACAGTGGAAGTTCATCTTCACCCAAATGCTCTGGTGACAGAGAGACCTAACCATGGCCTCAGTAATGGGACTTTACTGTCATTGACACATGGATTTATGGATTTATAGCATTAGAAACAGCAATGTTGGTGTGGCACTATGGCTTAAACAAAGAAAAAAAGTATTAAGAAGGAAACCGTTTATTTCTACTTTACCTTGGGATGTAGTAAATGAACTTTTGGCAGCTGGTTTTACTTTGCCTTGCTAATGCTAATTTTAAAATGAGTTTGCATTCCTGAACATGTACCCAGGGCCAACTCCATGAATGCCTGTGTGTGAGACTGCCCTCCTGGCCAACACCACTGAAAATGCCTCCCACTCCCCATGCCACAAGGCACCTTCCTCTGTCTTTCCTTTCTCTGGGTTCCTCTCTCTCTCTGGGTCTCTTCTAAAACATTCCTGTGAGGCTAAATACATTAAGTAACTCACACCAAGATCATAGTTATTTTTTCAGATATTTTCCTCCTGACTAGAAGAACCTGGATAACTTGAGAATAGTAGGAGCCAGATGGGATAGCCTCATCAGAAAAGGAAAAAGTGGGATGGGAAATCACTTTACAGTTTTTCCTGGAGCTGGCCCTGGGACACTATCAACAGGTTGAAATGGACCCCATGCATGCTGGCTGGAGTCAAGGAAGACAACTGGGACTAAATGTAACCATGGAGAATTCCCAGAAAGAAAAAACTGCTCCCCAATAACAGAAAGTTGATAAAATTGAATACCATAATAGACTTTGTTAATTATGCCACGGTTACAATCAAAGAAAGTGAAGTGGTGATGTGGGTGTGGTCACTCTTAATTCATGAAAAACATTTTTTCATTCCGTGTTGACTCCAACAAGACTGAGTGACTTGTGAGATAATAAATGACTTTCAGATTTTTTCCCTTTTTTCACCAGTTTTATTGAGATATGAGTGATATGTAACATTGTGTAAGTACAAGGTTTGCAATGTGTTTATTTGATACACTTATATATTGCAATATGGTTACCACCAAAGCGTTCATTATGTCCCATAATTACCATTTATTTTTTGTAGTGAGAACATTTAATCATATTTTTAATCATATTTTTTTAAAGATTTTTATTTATTTATTTGACACAGAGAGAGAGAGACAGTGAGAGAGGGAACACAAGCAGGGGGAGTGGGAGAAGGAGAAGCAGGAGAACATTTAAGACTTACTGTCTTGGCAACTTGTAAGTATGTAATACAGTATTGCTAGCTATAATCACAATGCTGTGCATTAGATCCCCAGAACTAATTCACCTTTTCACTGGAAGTTTATACTCTTTGACCAACATCTTCTCCTAATCAGACAAAATTTCAGAAGTATTACCTTAGAAATAGGAGCTGTAAAGGTTTATCCAAAGCAAGAACAGAACAACTTTTAAGGACACCATAGCAAATAATCTGTGAGCCTGAGAAGAGCAGGGCTTGATCTGACCCAGATGGCACAAGACAACACAGCAAACCTTGGGATACAGAAAAGAGGCGGAAGTTATGGATGGTCACAGCACCCTATTCTTTGTGGGGTTGGGCAAATCAATTAACTTCCCTGAATTCCAATGCCCTCCTCTGTGACTTTCATGATAATACGATATCCCCAACCTCACTTTCAGATTTGTTATGAAAACTCTAAAACTTCACTTATTTCATTCCCATTGGAAAAAGTCCCAAATGTCAGTGCAGATGTGCGCCCTAACATCTGGGACTAAAAGGGAGGCAGTGCTAATTTATTCACCAAAAAAATGAAGATTCTTTCTGTCTGAGCTACTTCTGGCCACGTCTTCAACTGACTTATTCATCCTCCAGGCTCCTGCATCCCCTTTTCCAGAAAGCCTTCTCTGAAGCCCCATCTGTGTTGCCTGTTTTCCTTCTGTCCTTCCGTGTCATACTGGCCATGCTGTAGGGGAATTGCTGGTGTGTGCACCTATTTCCTCCACTAAACTGTGTGCTCCATAAGAGCAACACCTTCCCTTCGGCAGCCTCCGTGTTCCCAACACAGCCCTGGTCCAAACTAATACTGTCTTCCCCAAATTGTGCAATAATCTCTTAAAGGAACACTCCACTTGTTTTCCTGCTTCCTCTAATCCACACACTGTCATCACAGTGATCTTCTTAAAATTAAAACCTGATCATAGCTGCTCAGTTTAAAAATCCTTCAGTGGCTTTTCATTGCCTTTGTGACATAGGAACCCTGAGGATATATTGTAAAGCCCTGCATACTCTCAGACTTGGTGACCCTCCTATTCCCTTGTTTTTATGCTACACTGACTTCAGGTACTTCTAAAAAGCATAATCTGTTTCAAATGTTCTTTCTTACAAGAGATAACTCCAGTTCATCCCTTAAGCTGAGGTGAGGACCTTCCCCCCCCAGAAAGCCCTCTCTGCCCTGGAACTTTAACCCTCCACCAGCTAGATCAGATTCCCCATTGTATATTCCCAGAGCACATGTAACCTCCTCTGGAGCACTCTTCACAACTGTAGTTAAGTAATTAATTACGAGCCTACTCCATGAGAATGAAAATTCTAAGAAGGCAACTTATATTTTCACTGTCTTTTCACTATTGGAGTGCCAGTAGCCAGTAAGTACTCAAAGTTTATTTGACAACTGGGTAAATAAATAAAACTTAAAATGTCTCAGAAGCAGTGGAAATTCGAAGGCTCACGGAGCCGGCCGAGCGGGCAGACGGCAGGCATCCCCCGGAGCCCGGCGGGCTTCCCGGCCCGGACCCGCAGGGCTTCGTCCCTCAGAAGGAGATCGTCTATAACAAGCTGCTGCCCTCTGCCGAGCGGCTGGACGTCAAGTCCGACTTGCAGCTGGCCCAGATCAAAAGCAACCTGGGCCGGGCCGTGCAGCTTCAAGAGCTGTGGCCCGGGGGCCTCTTCTGGACCAGGGAACTCTCCACATATATTCGACTTTATGGGAGAAAATTTAGCAAAGAAGATCATGTTCTTTTTATCAAGTTATTGTATGAGCTGGTATCAATTCCAAAACTGGAAATCAGCATGATGCAGGGATTTGCCCGTCTCTTGATCAACTTGTTAAAGAAAAAGGAACTTCTTTCAAGAGATGATTTGGAGTTACCTTGGAGACCACTTTATGACATGGTGGAAAGAATATTATATTCCAAGACAGAGCACCTGGGATTAAATTGGTTTCCTAATTCTGTAGAAAATGTTCTCAAAACACTCGTGAAAAGCTGCCGACCATACTTTCCAGCAGATGCCACAGCTGAGATGCTAGAAGAATGGCGGCCTTTAAGGTGCCCTTTTGATGTAACAATGCAAAAGGCCATCACTTATTTTGAAATATTTCTTCCTACCTCCCTTCCTCCAGAACTTCATCATAAAGGTTTTAAACTTTGGTTTGATGAATTAATTGGCCTTTGGGTTTCAGTGCAAAATCTCCCACAGTGGGAGGGGCAACTAGTAAATCTCTTTGCTCGATTGGCTACAGATAATATAGGGTACATAGATTGGGATCCATATGTACCAAAGATATTTACGAGAATTCTGAGAAGCTTGAACCTCCCAGTGGGAAGCAGTCAAGTGTTAGTCCCAAGATTTTTAACAAATGCTTATGATATAGGACATGCTGTGATATGGATCACCGCTATGATGGTTTGTAACACATTAGTTCATCTAAATTTTGTGTTAACCATACAAAAATTCTGTGTAATCACGTTAGGCTATATTAGTATCTTGGTCATTTGATTCTTGGATATTTTCTGATGTAGTAAGCTAATGTTTATCAGATCAGGTTGTTTGTAGAAAAACAATCATTTCTCTAACCAGTAGTTCTTAATAATGGAGTCAAAGTTTAGAGTTTTGAGAGATTCAGAATGTCTAACAGTCTTAATAGGTCAAGAACCAGACTCACAAATGAAAGGTCAAATCGATAATGGTAAATGTGGAATTAGAACTCAAGGTTTTGCATATGCCCAGTACGAATGCATTCAGTGTCGAAGATTACACTGAACAGAAAGCTTACTAAACAAATGAAGTAATCTTAATGAAGGAAGAAGTATGGAGGATTACTTAACTGACATCCCGGAAGGAAAGTAAAAATATATCCACATGCTTTGGATTTCATTGTCAACTTGCAAATAAGAATATAAGAATTTTATACTATAATTTTCTGGATTGCCATTTATATTGCTTCTACTGCTGTCTCTTTTTTAAATTATTGTTCTGTGTTTGATATTTTCTCCCAGGTTATGTTGTTTGGCTGGATGTTTCTGTGGAAAATGCAGGATGGTTGTGAGAAGTTTAACTCTTAAATTTTATTTTTAGATTTTAAAGAATAATTCATTCTCCCCCTGTTTTTGCTATTTCGTTATTAAGCACGGAAAATCACATTTTCTTTCTAATACTCCATAAGAGCAAAAACATCTGGATGTTTACTATCTTACATAAGCAATGAGTTGGAATTCATTTTTTAGAAGCCACAGAATTATATTGTGATAGTATCAGGTTATTTTAGTTAATGTTGCTGTTCTTTCTCACACAGTTTTTCCCATTGACAGTTTTATTTTGTGTTAAATGTGAATAATGAATATAATAAATAAAAATGCTAATTACTGTGTTAAAATAAAAAAAAGAAGCAGTGGAAATTCTATAAGTTATTCACAAATGGATGGATGGATGATTGAAATTGTTGCCTCACCCATCTCCTGGTTTCCACACTCATCTGAACTCCAGATTCAATTCTCCGTGTAACAATCAGACTAATTGTTTTAAATCATGATGTCAGATAACATGTCTTATCATATCACTCTTCTGCTCAAACTCTCTAAACCCATCCTCAAAAACACCTGAAGTCCTTTCAAAGGTCTACCAAATTGCACACAATCTAACCCCCCACTACTCTACTGAATTCATCCTCTATTTTTCTCCTTTTGTTCATTCCACTGCAGCACTCTGGCTTCCTGAAGGTTCTTCAAGCATGCCTGAACACAGTCCTGCCCCAGGGACAGTCACTAGCTATTTCTCCTACCTAGCAACATGTGTTTTCTCAAAAGTTACCTTATAAAAGCCTCCAAATACTAACAACAAAGATCTCTGAGGAAGCATAATAAACAGGGACTTCCCATGAAAAGATAGAGTAATAAGGACTGAACTTACCCTCCTTCCTGAAACAACAATAAAAATATATCAAGCAACATTTTTAAGACAGCATCAGACAACAGATGCTAAAACAGTTTTTATAATGGTGTTCCATATGTTCAAGAATTAGTGAGAGGGTAAATTAAACATGTTAAGTAGAAACATGGAAGATAAATTAAAAAGAAGGAGGAGGAGAAGGGGAAAGGGAAAAGACAGAGACCTAAATCAAAGAAACATAAAGAAAAGTACCCCAGGGCACATCATAATAAAATTGCCTAAAACTAATGAAAACAAAATCTTAGGAGCATCCATAGAATGAAAGGACAGAGTATGATAAAGGAACAAAGAAATGAAAGCATATTTGTTATTGGAAACAACAAAAGCCAGAAGACAGTGGAGCAAGATTTTTTTAAATACTGGAAGACACAAATTTCAATATTAAATTCTAAAATCAGGGAAAATATCGTCCAAAACCAATGGCAAAATAAAAACTTTTCAGATGCACAAAGGCTGAAAGAATTCATCACTGCACTCATCTGCAGTATATGAAATGATTTTTTTATTTATTTACACAGAAAATGAAACCAGATGAAATCAAGGCCAACACAAAGAAATGAAGAGCCCCAGAAACTGTAATTATGTAGCTAAACTTAAAAGACTTTTTCTTCTTTAAATATCCTAAAAACATAATTAATTATTTAAAAGCAAAAATAACAGCAAGATGGCGGAGGAGTAGGAGACCTGAATTTTGTCTGGTCCCAGGAATTCAGCTAGATTGGGATCAAACCATTCTGAACACCTACGAACTCAACAGGAGATCAAAGAAAAGAATAGCAGCAACTCTCTGAACAGAAAAGCAACCACTTACTGGAAGGTAGGACGTGCGGAGAAGTGAACCCGAGGCGATATTCGGGAGGATAGACGGCGGGGGAGGGGGCCTCCGTCGGCCGCTTCTGGCAACTGATAGAGCCGCGGAGCACAAAATCAGAACTTTTAGAAGTCAGTTCCGCTGAGGGACGTTGTTCCAGTGGCTAAGCGGGGTGGGGGGGGTGGAACCCTCAGGGGACAGAGTGGTCTCAGGACCCTCGGGGTCACAGAAAGACCGGGGGTGCCTGAGTGCAGCAGAGCTCCCAGGTATCGGAGCGGGGAAGTCGGCTGCAGAGACGGAGCCGAGGCGCGGGCTCTCAGCTCAGGGTTGCCATAAACCATGATCCACGGCACAGTCGGGCCACTCCTCCTCCAGCAGGGACCCAACAAGCGGCAGAGCCGGGGAGACTCCCCTTCCTCCCCCGGAGGAGCGGTGTGGGAGCGCAACGCAGGGATCTGCTGGGTTTGGAGACTCCACACGGGGTCGGGAGCCAGAGATAGAAACTCTTGGTCACAGGCAGAACTCCAGCGCTAGGGGAATACAGCACATAGAATTCATGGCTTTTTTACCATGATTCTTTAGTCTTTCAAAGTTGATTTTATTTTTAAGTTTTCTTTTCCCTTTCACAACTAACATCTTATCAATCCCTTTTTTAAAAAATATTTTTTAAAAAATATATATTTTTTATTTTTAATTTTTAGAGTCATATTCTATCCCTTCATAGTAGTTACCCTTATTTTTGGTATATATATATATATATATATATATATATATATATATATATATATATGTTGTTCTCTCTTTAAAATTTTGGGATATGGTTTCTTCTAACAGATCAAAATATAACCTAAATCTCTAGTGTATGGCTTTGTTCTAGTCTCCTGCCTGATCACATTCTCTCCCCCCCTTTTTTTTAAATCGTCTTTTTCTTTTTTCAACCAACTTCTTACCTTATCAATTCCTTTTATACAATCTTTTATACTTTTCATCTTTACATTCATATTACATCCCTTCATCGTATTAACGCTTATTTTTGTATATATAAGTTTTTCATTGTTTAAAATTTTGGGAGGCACTTTCTTCTAACAGACCAAAATACACCCAAAATCTAGTGTGTGGCACTGATATATGCACCAGCCTTATAATATTTGATCATATTCTGTTTTCCTTGTTTTCTTTTGTTTTTATCTTTTTCTTTTTCTTTTTTCTTTCTTTCCCTTTCTTTTCCACCGGTTTCAGGTCTTTTCTGATCTGTTTAGTGTATATTATCTGGGAACGTTGTTACCCTGTTAGCATTTTGTTCTCTTTCATCTATTCTACCCTGGAAAAAATGATAAGATGGAGAAATCACCTCAACAAAAAGAACAAGCAGTAGTACTGACTGCCAGGCACCTAATCAATACGGACATTAGTAAGATGTTGGAAGTAGAGTTCAGAATGATGATTTAAAGATACTAGCTGGGGTTGAAAAAAGCATGGAGGTTATTAGAGAAACCCTTTCTGGAAAAATAAAAGAACTAAAATCTAACCAAGTTGAAATCAAAACGGTTTTTAATGAGGTGCAATCAAAAATGGGGGTGTTATCTGCTAGGATAAATGAGGGAGAACAGAGAATTAGTGATATAGAAGACAGAATGATAGAAAATAAAGAAGCTGAGAAAAAGAGAGAAAAACAACTCCTGGATCACGAGGGCAGAATTCGAGAGATAAGCGATGCCATAAGATGAAACAACATTAGAATAATTGGGATCCCAGAAGAAGAAGAACGAGAGGGGCAAAAGGTATATTGGGGCAAATTATACCAGAGAACTTTTCTAATTTGGGGAAGGAAACAGGCAACAAAATCCAGGAGGCACAGAGAACCCCTCTCAAAATCAATAAAAATAGGTCAACACCCCGACATCTAACAGTAAAACTTATGGGTCTCATAGAAAAAGAGAAAATCGTGAAAGCAGCTCAGGAGAAGAAAATGTAAACTACAATGGTAGAAACATTCGATTGGCAACAGACCTATCCACAGAGACCTGGCAGGCCAGAAAGGACTGCCATGATATATTCAGAGCACCAAACGAGAAAAATATGCAGCCAACAATACTATATCAGCTAGGCTGTCATTCAAAACAGGAGAAACAAAAAGCTTCCAAGACAAACAAAAACTAAAGGAATTTGCAAACACGAAACCAGCCCTACAAGAAAAATTGAAAGGGGTCCTCTAAGCAAAGAGAGAGCCTAAAAGCAACATAGACCAGAAAGGAAGACAGAGAATATACAGTAACAGTCACCTTACAGGCAATACAATGGCACTAAATTCCTATCTTTCAATAGTTACCCTGAATGTAAATGGGCTAAATGCCCCAGTCAAAAGACACAGGCTATTAGATTGGATTAAAAAATAAGACCCATCAATATGCTGTCTGCAAGAGACTCATTTTAGACCCAAAGACACCCCCACATTGAAAGTGAGGGGGTAGAAAACCATTTACCATGTTAATGGACACCAAAAGAAAGCTGGGGTGGCAATCCTTCTATCAGACAAATTAGATTTTAAACCAAAGACTGTAATAAGAGTTGAGGAAGGACTCTATATCCTACTTAAAGGGTCTATCCAACAAGAAGATCTAACAATTGTAAATATCTATGCCCCTAACATGGGAACAGCCAAGTATATAAGGCAATTAATAACTAAAGCAGAGAAACACATTGACAACAATACAATAATAGGGAACTTTAACACCCCCCCGACTGAAATGGACAGATCATCTAAGCAAAAGATCAACAAGGAAATAAAGACTTTAAATGGCACCCTGGACCAGATGGACTTCGCAGACATATTCAGAACATTCCATCCCAAAGCAACAGAAAACACATTCTTCTCTAGTGCCCATGGAACATTCTCCAGAATAGATCACATCCTAGGTCACAAATCAGGTCTCAACCGGTACCAAAAGATTGGGATCATTCCCTGCATATTTTCAGACCACATTGCTTTGAAACTAGAACTCAATCACAAGAGGAAAGTTAGAAAGAACTCAAATACAAGGAGGCTAAAGAGCATCCTACTAAAGAATGAATGGGTCAACCAGGAAATTAAAGAAGAATTAAAAAAATTCATGGAAACCAATAAAAATGAAAACACAACTGTTCAAAATCTTTGGGATGCAGCAAAGGCAGTCCTGAGAGGAAAGTATATAACAATACAAGCCTTTCTCAAAAAACAAGAAAGGTCTCAAATACAAAATCTAACCCTACACCTAAAGGAGCTGGAGAAAGAACAGCAAATAAAGCCTAAACCCAGCAGGAGAAGAGAAATCATAAAGATCAGAGCAGAAATCAATGAAATAGAAACCAAAAGAACAGTAGAACAGATCAATGAAACTAGGAGCTGGTTCTTTGAAAGAATTAAC